CTGAAGGACCAGGAGGAGAGAGTGTGGGGCCAGGGAGGCTGCTGGCTGGGGCCCATCCTGGGGCATGAAGTTAAAGGTACCAAGGAGAGAAGTGGCATGGCTTGAAAAGGAACCCAGGAATCCTGATTCCCAGAATCTGTCCTTTCCCGTACCCACTTCACCAAGCACCAGCTCCCACAGTCCTCACAGAGGACTGGAACCTCCAAATCTAACCAATAGATGCACTGCCCACCTACAGGAAAGGAAAGAAGCCAGAAGTTGTAATGCCCAGTTCCCTGCTCTAACCCAATGCCCCATCCCTTCCCCAGAACCAGTGGCCCTCACAACCCCCCAGCTCTAGCCCAGTGCACCTTCCCCCCCAGAGCCAGGTATCCCTAGCCTCCCTGCTCTAACCCAATGTCCTTCCCTTCCCTCAGAGCTGGGGACATAACCTAGCAGAGTAGAGGGTAACAAAGTGACTCTGTAGCAAGAGCCAACCCCCCACACACAAAGTTGGACCTGCCCTTGGTCTCACCGGAGCTGCCGCTGCCTCAGCCATATACTTTTCCCTCCAGGTGCTGGGTGCATGCTCAGAGCGACTGTTAACATCCAGGCACACAGCTCTGAATGTTTAATTTAAGTGACAGGCACATGCCCTGCTCCCTCCCTGATCCCTTTTGCGGGTCAAAATCCCAGACATTTTTAGCCATTTAAAAAATCCGTCCGAATGGAGATTTAATAAGTGAAAAGGAGGAGATGTCCGGGGAAAAAACAGACATATGGTAACCTTACATATGCGTGTTTATGGAAAATGTTCACACTGCTTGGCAGAAACTCCTAAATCCTGGTGGTAACCCCCAATTTGTGACCTGATTCTGCAAGCCTTATTCACACTGAGACTACTCACATGAGATATTTTAATGTCATTCAGTTTACTGATCACACTGCAATACACTGATGCACAGCAATGATGTCAGCTCAGATGTTAGAGATGGAAACCTTCTGGCAGGTCTTTTAGATAGGATTTTCAAAAGTATCTAAGAAAGTTAAGTGCCTGTTTGTTTTCAGTGGGAGTTAAGCACCTAACTCAATCTGGATTTTCTGAAAATCTTCCCTTAACCTTCTTTGTACAAATATAGATCTTATCCTTGCACAGTATTTCTTACTACTTTGTCCATCCTAATTTTTAAAGGCCTCGAACGATGGAGCTTATACCTGTTCTTTGGCCACAAATTTTGAGGCCTAATGGAACTTGGTCAGAAGTGATTCTTCCTACAGCATGAATTACTATTTTCTTAATTTCATACTGCTAATAGTAACAATTCTAATTAATAGTATTCTCTTGTCCCACTTACACAGTTCCTTTCTACTCCAAATCTTTATACCTATCAACTAGGTAGGAGGTGTGGATAAAGAATAATGCTGTTCAGCCAGAAGTCTCGCTGACATCACACAAAATGCAGTACTGGATTTCAAAACTGAACAGTCTTTTCTTCCAGGTTTTAAACTACATTTCATAATAAGGACCTGATCCTGCATTAGAATCTGCTTGTGTTCACTGCACATGTGCAGAGTTCCATTAGCTTAGTAAGACTGCATGGATGTCAGGATCTGTACAATTGTCTCCTGACACCTACTAAGACTCTAATCTTTATTTCAGCTAGGGATCTCAAGTTTGCTCTCAGCTGAGCTTGATAAAAGCATGGTTCAATCTTGTTCACTGTTAAACTTTCCTTTGCAAGAGAGACACACAGAACCATTGCCTTTAGTTTCTAGAAGTGATTTCCCTTAAGTCAAGGTTGAGATTTTTGACAAAACAGTGTGGAAAAAATGTGTATTGTATCTAGTCTTATCTGATGTGACATATAGAAAAATGGAGAGTAATTTGTAGTGCTTGCCTGTTCTTAACCTTTTCAAGCGTAATATTTACAGGGAAATCACAGAAAAGCATAATGTAGGCTAAATTTATCACAGAATCCTTTCTTTATTCCTTGAACTTTGCTTTGCTCATGAATGTATAGTTCATCTTTTGTTTTCAATAAAAGCTACCCACTCTTCTCTAAATGCCCCAATATTATTTTCCACATACACAGAACGGTGCTACCAAGATTTCATTACTGTTCACAGTTGGTGCCTTGTAATTCTATGTAATTTTAATTAAAGAAGAATTTGAAGCAGTCTCCCCCTGTGTTACCTCCAAGCACACAATTAGCAGTGTAGTTTCTGCTGTGAACAGTCACTTAGTGATTTCAGATTAATAATTTATCATTGCTTCCTCAGTTGTATCCATGCTAGAAAAAACAGGAAGCAAAATCTGTGCGTAAACTGGCCATTGGAAATAAATGCTTTAACAAATTTGGAAGGAGTTTGCTTTACCTAAGTTTGATACCTTAGCACATAATTCCATTCGATAGAGGGCACATATTTTTTTCTTACCTTTAAACTTTGAGAGTGGAACATAGGAAAGTCATTCTTGTATGTAGGGGTGCAGAAAACACAGGTTATTTTATAAGGCACCATTTAGCATCCTTTTGGTTTTTAAATAAGTGATTTTATTCTAGAGCTTGAAGTATAGAAGAGCCCATTTCTGGATTTTGAGTACTTTAACTTGTTTTGAAACAAAAATATCTAGTAGCTGCCCTTATAAAAATAGAAATATCTGTGTTGACCTTTGTCATCAAATACAGATGAAGGAAATCCTGTGTTTGGACAACTTGCTCTCATCATTGTCCTTTCCATATTTGCCATACAATTCAAAATAAAAATATGAAGAGTTTTACTGAGGACTGCTTAATTGAGTGTGCCCAAAATAAAAGGAATAACTCATAAATCTAAAATAGCCTTTTCCACGCTGATATTAAATGGAGCGTGGACAGGAGAGAACTTGATTACTGTTATAATGATCATGGTTTTCTTTCATAGTGAAAGCAAATTTTACACCAGTGTATGGAGAAAACTCCCTTTTCCTGACTCTGGAATTTTAAACATGACCTTTAGTCTGCTACTTTTCATAATTAGAATGCAGCATTATATGCTGTGTTGGGAAATGGAAAAAAGTGAGCTGGTAGCAGACCAGATCAAAGTATCATTAATCCATGCATGTATTGACAATAATTTAATTGTAAACCTTTACATCACTTTATTTCTTCCATTTCTGATAAAAATGATGATTAATCAAGTTTAAATAGAAAAAGGGCAAATGTGGGATTTATTCAAAAATCCTCTACAGAAACCCAGCCTTGCTATAGGACCCACTAAGAAGAATCTTTAAAATGAAATTTGTAATTTAACAAGTGGTTGAAGTTGTATAGCTTAATAATTAGGGTTGCCAGATGGTTTCAACAAAAATACTGGACACACTTGACATTACATCACAATCTACATTACATCTTATTTAGAAAATGCTGGACATTTATATTTTCTCATTTATATTTTCTCAATTTGTGTCCTGAACAGAAAACTCAAATACTGGACTGTCTGGTTCAAAACTGGACACCTAGCAACACTGTTAATAATAGCCAATAGCTATTAGTAGACTAGCCAGTGCTGAGACTTCTTTATGAATGTTTGATGCTGAATTTGTCAGATGGACTTCCCCCACATTGGAACACAGAGGAATAAATTTTGTTTACCAGCGCTGCAGCCATGGAGCCACATGGCTCCCATTGGCTCTGCTTCACCATTTGCAGACAAGGGGAGCTGTGGGTATCCGTGGCTGCAGAGCTGCTAAATAAAAACACTGGAGCAGCCAGTTAGCAGGTTTCTCAAAGTGGTTCACAGACCACTTTGTGAAACAGCAGTGTAAATGAAAGTTTGGAGAGCTGCAAAATTCTTTTCCTAATGTATTTATTTTGTGCATATGTGACATGTTGTGTATAGTCAATTAGTCTTTCCCCGTACAGTCATAGCAGTGCATACGCAGTGTAGTTGTGGCTGTGTCAATCCCAGAATATTAAAGAGAGAGTCAGCGAGGTAATATCTTCTGTTGGACCAACTTCTGTTTGTGAGAGAGCTCTGTGTGGTTCAAAAACCCTCTCCGCAACAGAAGTTGGTCCAATACAACTTGTCTCTTTAATAGTTACTTGTGGGCAGTGAGTTTCCCCATCAGCACTTATAGCAGCAGAGGAGAGGAAGCCTTTTATATTCAAACTTCCTATTCTTCCTTCCTCCTAGTTCCATGGAAAAATGTATTATAAAATCAAACAAATTACCATTTGAAAATTAGAAAGATTTTAAATTAAGTGCCTTCTGTAAGATTTGCAGAAAGAGATACCTGAAGTTCCATGCTAGTTCAATGCTTTTTAAAATTAGGCCAGTTATTCAAAACCTCAGTATGAATTTCAAAAACTAATTTCATGCATCTCTGTTTGAAAATCGTGGCCAATCTATACTTTTTGTTGATTATGCAAAAGAAACTAAGTAGCCATTTCCCCTTATCCTCCTGGTTGTCCTTAGTACAATGTAGTATTGATTTGATGTCTAAAGCATACAAACTGTTTTCCCCAGCAGCAGAATAACTCTGACACTCAAACTTTAGGCGTGTTCACATCTCCTTTTACAAATTAGTTCTCTTATCTTGTTAGAAGCCTACATAAAATAAATGATTTCACCTATTTACACACATGGCCAGATCCAATTCATCTTAATGACAAAATATGTGTGTTTGTATGTGCACAAAACTGTTGGATGAGACTTTCAGAAGAACTCAGCTTTGGCTTACGTCCACTCCTGCTGACGTCAATGGACAATTTGCCATCAACTTTTATGGAGGCAGAATGAGGCCAAATGAGTGGTACTGAAAATTCCACCTGTTTAAACACAATGATGAAATTATACTTTTTCATACACTTCTTGGGTTATTAATCTGTCCAAAGCATGAAGTATGATCTCCCCCAGCTGAGTAATTAATCAATGTTGCTTGAGAGACATGACGAAAAATAAAAATAACTAAGACACATTATTGCATGTATCTTTTTTTTGCCACATTCTTGAGATAAAGTGTTTCTCAATATTTTTTCCAGACATTCGGGACAGTGGGGGACCTAAGCCAGTGATGGTATATATTCATGGAGGGTCCTACATGGAAGGCACTGGAAATTTATATGATGGCAGTGTTCTGGCAAGTTATGGCAATGTGATAGTCATCACAGTCAACTATCGCCTTGGGGTACTTGGTAAGAAGCTTTTGGATTTCAATTAATCCCTGCTATCTGCATTGCACTTCATACTATTTGTGAGAATATATTCAGAAAACCATTTTTACTTTGTTTTTAAAAACCTTGTTTCCAAACCAAGTCTTGTTGTTATGTAGCTGCAAAACACATTTTCTGCCTTTAGCTTGCAGAATAAATGGAAACTCTGCTTCCGGTTTAATGATCTAAAAATACAATGCAGATGTTCAGATTTGCTGAGTTCATGATGCCTCTTTCTGTTATTTATGAACCTTATGTTGATTAGGATTAGACTCACATACTGCGTAGGGAAAATTGATCTAATAATATTCAAGCACTAATTCAAGTGCTTATTTTTGGTTTGTGATGCAGAAAGATTAGCAATAATGCTTATGTTTTGTTGATCAACATGGCTTTTTGACCTTTGAAGAAGCAAGAGAGTTTGGGATACTCAACTGGCATTTTTGTAACTGCATTGTGCTTTTGCCATATAGCTGAATTTCTTTGGTTTTAAAGTAAGAAGTATCTATCTAATTAAATATTTCCAACAGTTTTCTAGGCTAAATAAGAATGTCAGAATGGAGAGCAGACTCCTATTGTTTTGACTTAGATGAATGATGTAGGCTAACATTATTGGTTTAAATAAGGAAGAGTTGTGTGGTGGGCTCCAAAGTATACATTCCTAAGTATTTGTTTAATTAACATATAGCCACTCATTCAGGATAGGTAAACTTGTGATAGATCTGACAACTCAAGACAACAAGATACGTTGTTTTTTTCCATTGTTTTCTGCTAAAATGCTGTGTTTTGAAATGTATGGCATGAACTGGATTCCAGGATATGGTATAGATTAATATTGAATAATTGATATTGCATATCAGAAATTTTATGAAAGATACATGACACTATATCTATTATCCCAAATGGCTTGATAAACTGGCAGCTAAATTATGTAATAAATAACCTGTTTCGTTCACAAGTCCAATGAACTTCATTCTTAGTATGTTAGTAATAGGAAAAGGTTACTGGTGGTCATTGAGCATGATGCTTTTATTTTCCATTCCGTGGTCCTATTATTTACTCAGTCTCCATTTTCTCTGTGTTTAGTATGCTCCTACTCCTTTCATGAATTAATTAATTCTTACTGGCTTTCCTGGGTCACTGCCATCTGTTGATTGGTTTTTTTTTTAATAAAAAACTGGGAAATTGAAAGACAATGAATTTGACTTTGGTTTTGATGTAGTTTAATCTCAAGTCTTGAAACTTTATATAATTTGAATTTTTACATTGCACCCAGTTATTTTCACATGTAAAATGAAAAGTACTATTTAAAGCTTGTCTAGCTCTTTGTTTAGTGTCCAGTCCGAGCTTTAATGGGTCTGCAATTCTTTTGACAATGCAACATGGTATTTTGTTTGCTTCTCCTCCCCTCCCCCAATGTAGTTACACATTGACTTGTTAGTATCATAATTTGGAATTCACTTTCATTGTCAACATACTGTATCAGCTTTCTATTTAATGGACTTTCCTTTTTCTAATTTATTTTTGTTCATTCATTGCTGATGTACCACTTTACATTTATCTGCATTACCGGTCCAGTAGGCTAGGCTGTCAGACTAAGTAAAAATGTTCCTTATCTGATCGCATTATTATTTATTTGCTAGTTCCAAACTGTGTACTGTAACAGAACTGCTGAACATTTTGCTTTTTGTACCAAATAATAAACTATTTTGCATGGAAGATTATATTTTAACCTGAGATTTCAACACGGATCCCCCCGGTATCTCACTACTAACAACTTACTAAACTTAAATGTTCCTTTTTTCTCCCTCTGATTTCTGTGTCTTTCAGACAACAACAATGAAGAAAGATGTACTTTTTTCTTTTATTTATAAACTATGTTGGTAAAATCACTAACACTGAAAAGAGAATCTAGGAAGAGCTGTAATATTTAAAATGTCTGTCCTTTCAAATCACCTTTTGAAAACTGACTAAACTTCTGCTTTACAGACTTCCCTTATTGCAGTAAACATAACATTTGATTGCATATAAACAAACTGTTATACTTCACTGTGTATGGACTGCAGGAACAAATCAGGGATTAAAAAGAGAATTTACACAGTATGCAATTTTCTCCTCTGCCTTGCATTACTATTGTTTTCTACCTTTATCATCTCTGCAGGTACTACTGTGCAATAAGTGTTTAATTCCTAAACACAGGTCTTTTGGAATAAAAGCATTAGATATAAATGTCTATTGATGCTGTTTAAGAATATTATTCAGCATTACACAATTGTCCACCAAAATATTAATCTGTTGTCCTCAGGATTTCGCTCATTGTTTCTCTTGTTAACTAATTCCCTCTCTGAGGTTGTGTCTACACAGCCGTTCTAGCTCGAAATAAGCTACACAATTTGAGCTAGGCAAATTGTGTAGCTTATTTCGAGCTTATTTTGAGGGAGTTTATTTTGAAATTTGGCGTTGTCTACACAGCACCAAATTTTCAAATAGACTGCTGTTCCAGCAAGTCACTTAATCCTCATGGAACGAGATTTACCAGGATGTTGTAATAGCAAGTCCATTATTTTGATTGTATTTTGAAATAACGGGAATGCTGTTAAGATGTGGAAAACACTATTTTGGGATACCGGACATATCCTAAAATAGCACCGATATCTCAACATATCCTAACAGAGCTACAAATCTGGTGAACATATTACGCAAAATAGTTTAGGGGAAGGAGGGAGAGAGGGAGGAAGCAAGCAAGGAGAGGGAGGGCTCCAGGCAGGATTTAGCATGCCAGTATGTTTTTATAAGTACACAGAATAAAAATGTGGAAGCAGTGGTTCTTGACTTCTTCCATGCTGAGACACCCTGCTATCTATCCAAGATTGATCCAGGTTCTCCTCCTATTTAGCATTTTAGGAAGGGCAAAGTTGTCCTGACCCGAACTCTGTTTTGCAATCCCCAGTTTGAGCACCTGAATGTTAAGGCAATGTAAAGATGTTGTTTACGAGTCAGATGATCCCTTTAGCCTATTTAAATAGCAGCACATTTCCTCTTTTAAAAAACAATAGTAACTCGAGCGGCATATTTTTAGTTTATTCTTTATTCAGTATGCTCTCAGAGTCTTGGCCTCTTGGTCAAGTCCAGAACTTCTGAATTGCTGCTTTTTGCAAAATATATTGCAGGGATAATGCACATCTGATATGCCTGTAATGACTACTTCTTCAATATGCATCTAACTTAAATCTTGTATCTCATTCCTAACTGATTGCTCGGTATAAACTTCAATCTATTTTTGATTGTTCAAAAAGCTTTTTGGAAAATAACACTACATTACTCTCATACTGTATCTTGTACATATAACTTTCTGCAGTTTGTATCAAACGAAGTCACAAATTTATTGTAATCTTTTCTGATTGATGCTCTAGATTAGTTTTAGTCATCTTTGTGTATGCATTTTGACATTGGAACAGTTTCTAATAATTTTGATGGCCTCTTTTCTGTGCTCACTCTGCATTTGTGATAGCAGAGTGTTGCTGTATAGATATGGATGTGGATTACTATGTAGCCAACAATAAGAGACCACTGCAGATGTACTCATTAAAGGCCACATGGCGCTCCTCCAGCTTTTTCATGGGAGAATGGGGAAACATACCAGGAAAACTACATGAAGTTCTAGCTATCCTCTCTTTATGGGGAAAGAGGTTGTAGGTTTCTAGAAGGGAAGGGAGTTCTATATGTTCTGAGAATATATGAAGCTGCATTGAACGTAGCTTGAGACAATAAAGGTGCTTACACTGCTACTGTCCTAATACAATGTTAGTAGTCAGTTGAACTTGAAATGTATTTAATAAAAAGTAGGTATGTTAAACAAATGAAAAACCTGAAGAGGTTCCTGGCCCAGTGTTACCTTTGTTTGTCTCTAGAATAAAAGCCCATTACTATCTTTCTTTAATGACAGGAGGGAAAGGAAAGCTATTTGCTTTGGAAGCTTGGGGACCATTGAATGGAAATGTATTGTTTATATCTTCTGTGGCCTTTACATGGTGTTTACAATGCATGTCCTGTGCAATCTGTCTCTTCCGGTGAGGGATGGTAAGCAAAAAGTCTGATAACCTTGAACTTCTGAGACTCTCTAGGGAGAGCTCTGTAGTAAGTGCTAGGAAGGTTTTATATCTTCTTTATAATAAATATAACCGGCAAAAGGGCAAAATGCAAACAAGTTAAATTTTCAGGTTGATTAATTTAAATCATTAGCAGTATATCTTAAATACCTTTATCCAATAAGTAAAGTAATGGCAAGTTGTTTATGTTTTCTTAAGTTCACTAAAGAAATGTGAAAATGAAGAACCTCTCTTTTGTGTCCAGAATGGGGTAAAAAGTCCTTCTTGGCACTTACAAAAGCACATTGAAATGATGAAATACTTGCAGTATTATTTTTCACGTCCTACTATCTGAAAAGAAATATTTAGAAAGGATGAATGCCTTGTGATTTGCATCAGGTTGCATTACCATCTGTCTTTCTTGGCAGTGCCAGCAAAAGAGAGAGTTTGCCTGTGTCTACTGCATGGTCATCTTTTTTACAGCTCTTGGACACTTTTTATCATCCAGGATCCAAATGGGATTCAAAAGAAATATAGTTCAGACAGTCGTTATTCCAACTCATCTCTAACTCATCTTGGAGGGTGCAAGGGTGATTCATAAGAATCTTTCCTCTGGAGCTAGCGATGAGCTTTGTTTACATTTCCCAATTTGTTCTTCCTCCACAAGCCAATGAAAACTTTACCATAGAAATGGATAAAGTGTTCTTTTAATGGCCTGAAGCAAACATTTGTAATGATCAAAGAAATAACAAGAAATTTCTGACTTCTAATGTGTATTCCGTCTTGCTGCATTAGCAGTAAAAACAAATATCAGATCTCTTAAGAGTGTGAGACCACATCCTCCTGGTTATACTGTAATAACTAAGCCCGCGGCTATACACGGCACGGAGTAGGCAGTTCGAATTAGGCTTTCTAATTCAAACTACCATTACACCTCGTTCCACGAGGAGTAACGGTAGTTCGAATTAGAAAGCCTAATTCGAACTACCTACTCCGTGCCGCATGTAGCCGCGGGGCCGGAGGCCCGGCAAGATGCAAATGAAGCCCGGGATATTTAAATCCTGGGCTTCATTTGCAACTTCAATTGACTACATTAGCCACCCTAGTT